TAAAAATATTTACAAATATCGGTTAGGTTGGTAGCTTTATTGGAATTAATATTTATGAATATATACTTATTAATTTGCTTATTCTCCTTTAGATTAATAGTATTCTTAATGTTAAATGAATACTTATTAGCATTTTGAAGAGAATAAAAAAGAGTTGTATATATTACTAAGTTGTAAAAAGAGATCGTAAGATAGAAAGAAAAAGACTGTATATGAAAATGAAAGGTATAAAGTGTATAAATGAATCATAAAAGTATATGCTAAGAATAGATAAAAATGGACTAACCTAATCTAGGCGGTGGCCAGTAAAGAGTTCCTGAAAGGGTTAAGAATACTAGTATAAAAGTAAGAAAATAAGAATTATAAAAGAAGAGATCGTGAGAGAAAGTTTAAAAGAACGATTAAGGAGTGAACAATAAATAAAGTATGAGGTAATATTGTATATTTTTGTATAAAGAGCTAATGAAGTGTGTAAGACTAGTTATGTAAAAATTAGGAGGCAAGAAAATAGATAGCTATCTACAACGACTCATTTAAGATGGTGCGTGAATAAATTAGTGTAGCTATTGAAAGAGAGATGGCTAGAGGTGAAAGACAAATCAGATTTATAAATAACTTGTTTACTTCGAAAGGTATTACCATAAATGCCAAGTAAAACTATAAGTAATGTATAAAGATACAATGAAAGTGTATCCAAGAATAAATAATGAAAATATAGTGAATCTATAGTGAATAGTACGAATATAGAGATAATATTAACTTATAAATAACGATACAATTGTTTATATAATGTAATAATAGGAGGAGCAATTACTAATAAGCTAACGTTTTTACTGAACGATATATAATTAGTAATTGTTTTAAATAATTATATATCTACAGGATAATAATAATTAGCTTTAATCATTTAAAACTTAGATTCAGAAGTATGTTTATTATAAAAAGGAATATTTTCACCTATCATAGCTTGAGCTATTAAAGCTTTACTCTCTTCATATTGTACTTTATTTTTAGCTAATTCAGATAACAATTCTTTTACTGCTTTTTATTTATCTTATTGTAATATATACACTTTTCTTGTATTACCCTTACTCATGCTAACATTATCTATTCTATATCACTATTACTAGTTCTCTAACTCTTTATAGATTGTCCTTCTAACTCTCTCTAGATTACGAAGACATTTATTCTGGATATACCCTTAAGGAATCCCTTAAGAAACCCTTGGGAATTATTGAGCTCTTTAAAATCTTGCAACCCCTAAGCTTAATTCTTAATTCTATTATACCTTAAACTTTTACTGTATTTTTTTTTTTTCTTGTATACAACAGATAAACCTATATAAATATAGTAAAGGTAATTAAATAATAGTATAAAAAAAAGTTCTCAAATGAGGAAAGCTGTTTTGTTTTTTAATTGAAATAAAGAATTCTTATGTAGGTTTCATAGCATTTATCAGCTAACGCACTAACGCGCTAACGCGCTAAAATTAAAAATATAATTAAAAAAGCATAAAAATATACCATATAAAAAAGATATAATCAGTTACACATGTATTTTGTAAGTTGAGTTGTTTTAACTTGATATTGCTTTCCATGATCTATATTGAAAATGCATTACACTTTACCATCTCCATCCATTAGGCCAACCCAAAACATTTTAATTAAAAAAAGAGGAGTTAGTAACTCCGATATGATTAAAAGGAGTGTAACGATATTAAAATAAGAATCAAATAGACCAAATAATATTGCTGCATGTAATTTAAGATGTTAAAACAATATGATCTAGATTATGATGCACATAGATAAGGAGATTTAATAAGCAATGAATATATTAGAAACTACAATAAGGAAGAGGCTGATCATCCGTATTAAACCCTCTCTCTATATACAAGAGCACATATCCAAGAAAGCAGTAAGCAACTATACTCTTTATCATGATAAAATTTTAGGCATCTTCTCAACTAACTTTTTACCTATCATACCTTATTGCTATTATCTCTTCCACTCCCTTCCTCCATTCTTATAGATCTATATAAAGGATAGTTTACTTATTTTTTATATCATTAATAGTTATTACTACCATAGACTTAACCCATCGATTTCATAAGCATTTGATGATGTCTTTTAACCCTTAGTATTTATAATATTAAAACATACACTTGAAAATACATAACTATTTATAAAGTCTACATAAGCTTAGACCGACAAGGAATGATTGACCATTAATATCCCAATGTTGAAGGGTAATATAAACTAACCATTAATAATTGTTGTATATTCGGAGTCTTTATAAGAGAAAGCAATATTGAAGTAATATAAAAAATCGGTGGAGAAATATAATAAGATACAAGAAACTTTAAATCAATGCTATAATCAGTAAAGGAACTATATTTAATCCAGATTATATAATTGATTGTTTCACTAAATGTGATAATTAGAAAAATAATAAGATTTAGCATTTACAAAGATTTTTAGATACTAGATTGATGCGCTCTAATCCATAGACATGTCGTAAAGGAGGTTAGTGAGACTAATCCCACCCTAAATATTAGGCCCTCGTAATAGAACAGCATTTAATGATAATAGTCCCGACAAGGTCTTATCGTTATGGATTTACTTCAGCGGCATTTAAATATAGAGGGTAAAACATGAAGGATTTTAACTTTAATCGCCGGTTATTTTTATGCTTTAAATATTTTTAGCCGTCGTTTAATGAGAATAAATATAATGAAGATCTTAATTATCTCATACTTATTAGTACAGAATTTTGCTACTATATATTTAAACCTATGAAGCCTGGGAAGCCAGGTAGTGGCTAAGCTTGATACCCTTATTATTGGTTAAGGTAAGAGGTCCTGAGTATTTATGCTTTACTGCTCATACAGGTAAAATGCTTATGAAAGTTTTAGTTTAGAGCTGTTTAAGTTTGTGATAGATTCAATTTTGATTTACCTCTCTTGTTAGGAGTAATGTTGGTTGTTGGTATTTGCTCAAGTTATTTGGATTTATTATGTAATAATAAATCAATAATCATGGATCATAAACCATTAAGAAAACCAAAAGCCACTAGCTATATGTTTAACTATTTTTAAGTTATTATGTTTAATATTTATAATTACCTTAATATAGAATTAATTACTAATTCTATATTAGAAAGCTTATAAAATAGGTATACCGCATTTACGAAAAGTATTTATGTCAGAACCATTAGTAATTAAACCAGAATATAGTTACCTAAAGATTATTAAGGTAACAATTAAGTGGTTGATTTATTGATAACATAGTACACCCTCTTACCCAAGGATATGAGTCAGGTAATATAGAAGATAGAGAAAAAGTTTACCCGAAGTTTAAAATGTACGTAAAATTATATCTAGAATACCTTTAATAAGCTAAAATTCCATTTTAACTACAGAATATACTTGGAGGGAATAGTACCGAGAATAGTATTGAGTATAAAAGATTAGATCAGTAAATATACGTATAAAGTGTAATGAAGTGTATAGCAATAATAGCTATTAAGTTATTATGAGGCTTAATGAAAGTAATAGGATATAAAGCTAATGTATTTAGATGCCGATATTATTTTAAAGAGCCGTAGTGGCAAGTGAATGATTACACCCATCGATTTAATGAATCCTTACGGTTAACCTAGGATAGCAGATTGCATTAAGAGGATAACTACTATAAAAGGCTATAGATTATTACATACATATGAGATATATTTTATGATTAAAAAATAATCTCCTCCACAGGGGCAACATAATAATTTCCAGCTTGCGCGCTATTTTAATGCGCGCTATTAACAGCTATAAAAATGCGCGTTATAGCAGTCAAAATAATAGTATTATGAAGTCTATGTTTTAAATAAATAATACCTAATCTAAAGGGAATAAAATATCATCACTAACTATTAACATAATATTAACTTTTACAGTATAAAATATGTATAATGGACGCTTTACTTGATATGGTCCTACTCTCTAGATCTCATAGCTGGAAATCTAATTAACCCGGCTACGCGACTAATTAAACTAAAAATTGAGGTTAATAAGTAGCGCTCATTTTGATTGGCTAACTCCATTTTATACAATATATCTATTACCATTATATAATACCAGCTTACGCGCTTACGCGCTTACGCGCTTACGCGCTTGCGCGCTATTAAAATGCGCGTTATATACCGAGTGTATAGATAATGGCCGATAAAATATGGGATTAAAGTATTAAGTAGGTCTTATGTTATTTGCAGGATTAACCCGCCACTTAATCCGTACATCTTAACAAAATTTATTCTTTACTCCTTGATATTTATTAATGCTTTATATACCTAACTTAGGTTTAATTTATGATAGTTATTTGTATTTTAGAGGAGCCTATTTTGCATAATTACCAACTTCGTAGCTACCTAGATAACTCGCTATTACTAAAAGTATAAACAGGAAGTATTTAAATATACATAAAAATATTATAAATAGGAACACTTTATCATTTATATTACTGAGATTATTAAACTCATTTATTTTTTACTTTATAAAGGTTATAAACTATAAAAATATTAAAAACAATAAAGACAATTAAAGATGCATATTAAAATTTATATGATTCTCTGAAACTTAATTACCTAAAATACTTGGAACATGGACAAAAGGAATATTTGTATCATGATATGAGAATCTACGAATAACTAAATTTAGTTAACCGGCTACGCATTAATACTGTATCTTTGTTTATTTCTACTGAGTAGAAATAATAAAAATTTATGATTATTTTAAGGAACTTGTTAAGATATACATTTATATATATATAATATAATTCACATAATAGGAAAACATCTTAAAATAATACCCCTGGCAGGACTTGAACCTGCACCGTTTGCACGAATAGATTTAGAGTCTACCGAGTCTACCATTCCTCCACAGGGGCAACATAACTACCAAAAAAATAAAGCTTATATATATTACCACAGTTTATATTATGGACCCCCGAAATCTAATATCGGAGTGCTAGGACTCGAACCTAGAGCCACTGGAACCCAAAACCAGCATTCTACCATTAAACTACACCCCGTATCCCATATATGCAGCTATGTATTATATTATTAATAATAATTTGTTATCTCTCTATTTTAGATACCCCTATAGCCTATGTGGGAGTGAACCTCCGTCAATAAACCAGAATATTTACGGAAACACAGCAATTTAAACCAAACTATAAGGGTAACATATATCGTGGCACCTCGTGGTAAAATCGAAATATCTCTTAAAATGCAATGGGAAATGTCGCAGCACCTATTAAAAGATGTACAGTGACTAAATGAGGGGCATATGAGAGCACTTAAGATATAGTCTATCCTCTAGTATATAATAGAATGTATTTTTAAACTAAGTATATAGAGTAGATATAAATGATAAGGTTTTAATTCTCTTTTTACATAGTAGGACTTTAAGTATTTTTATATTTTTAGATAGTAACACTATTTAATATCATTTATTAAACATTCAATACATTATTAACTAATTTAATCTTAATTTGAGTTATAGCTTTAATCGAACCTAGTAACTTATATTAAATACATAATTAAAATGTAATATATTTTACCCTCCAATGATAAGACAATGGAGAATATTGTTTATAATCTTGGTATTTTCCACTCTTATAACTAGATAGTAGTACATCGGTAATGAGACTACACATAAGAAATGGAATATGAAAAATATATATATCATGATATATATATATCCTAGTAGTTATAATATGGGTAAAAGTAATGAATATCATAAATAGCCCCCCCCTATATATCACTCCGTTACTCATCCAGTTTAAGGAAATATCTCTTACAACCAAATAATATCTAACAAAAATCAAATCCATTTGCTGAACCCCGGTTATATTACCGTATCAAAAATGCAATAAAAACCGGTATCCTACTTGAATTTATTGAGAGGCAAAGTGGATTGGTGCAATTTAAGAACTCGAACCTTATTATGGTTTACCCTTAAACTAAATTACATTTTTAATTACATTAGTATAAATACATTTATATTAGCAAAATGGAATAAAACATAAGTAATACGGGGTAAAGTTTGTCGTGTGATACAGTATGCCAATTTTAGACAAGAAAAATTTAAAGTGTGTTAACTTTTTAAGGCTACTATTAATTATATCTTGTAATTAATATTTTATTAAGAGCTTTAAGCAAAAACCGAGGGGGGGGTGAGTTTAAATATCCTAAGGCTCATATAGCATACCAATTAATATAAAAACTAGCATTTTGTGGATAACTATAGAGGGGGGTAATCCCATAATCAAACCACTGGTCATTTAATTCCAATCGAATTATACATATGTAGTAAAATTATACATTTTTCCTCGATATAAATAGTAGATTGCCATATTTATAACTTGGTACTTGATAAGCAAGTTGGGAGGCCAATTCGTGTGGCAGCGAAGATAGGGCCATATCCTTTCGACCAACTTACTTCAGGTACACCTCATGCCAATTAGGTATAGTTTAAGCATTTATTTCCGTACCTATAATCCATTGCTGATATGATATTTATAGCTATTTCTTTTTCATACTATTCTTTAATAATGCGTCTATGAAATGTTTAATGGTTATTACCTTAGGTTATTAGATCATTTTTATTTACTTTTTATTTTTGAATTTTACGATTCTTATTACATATTACATGGAGCTCTCTTTATATTTTTTATTCTTATTTTTCATAGAAAGAATAAAAATAGGTTTATATAACAGCTACTAACATGAATTTTATATATAGGTTAATTAACTAAATATTAATATTATAATATTTTTATTCTTAATTAACTTGAAATGGGGGGTTATAAAGGATTTAACAGTGATATTTATAATTATATTTTATTACCTTACTTTATTACAGTGGTTACTCCATTAAGTTAGATATCTTTAACTATTGTTATTTACTTATTCTCAGCCGCCTATGTAACTAACTATAACTATTAATTTAAGTGTGAGATTGACAGTCAATATTAAAACTTTTAATATTATTGATAAAGTTTTTGTTCTTAGTCATTTTTGTAGCATTTATTTCCTTTTGCTATAACTATTATTAGTGCTGTTTAATAGTTTGTTGCTTTGATTATTAGCAGTGCGTCTTGTTTTTATTCTCGTAATAGTGAGTAGAATTTATTCTTCTACTCCTTTCATTGCGACTGCTTATTGAGTAGTCATGTTATTTACTATTTGGGTTTAATATTAATAGTAGGTAAATATAGATATATAATTGTTAACTTTATGGATGTTTAATAATGTATTAATCTTTTATTTTTCTTATGTTTAATATTTGAAATTATCCTATACTTTATTTTCGAATGTTTTATCTCACTATATAAAAATTTTATTTATAGCATTTTCTTATATTAAAAAGTTACATGTAATCTATAATCTAAAATAAAAATATGCAAAATGTTAAATAGTATAGGCTACAATGTGATAGCTATAGTTAATTATAGTGCTGCTGATAAGGTCATGGAATGATAAGGTTTTGCTAAATTAATTAAGAAAAAAAAAGGAAGTTGCTTTATAGATAGAGTAAGTTTAGAGATTTATAGGGAAGAACAAAGTAGATATAGGGGGGTGATATGATTATCATAATTAGATTATATCTCTATAAATATAGTCTCTATGTAATATTAATAACTGTATAGATATCTTATCTCAATAACACTTTAATCCATTTATTATATAAAATTATATCCCTTATGGCTGCAGCAGCTCATTATACTATTTAACATTTTGCTATCGTAAACAATAACTCATTTCTTATACATGAGTGACTTACTAACTAAAAGAAGTATTATTTAAATTATAATTGTTTTTATAACCCCTAAATGAACAGGATTGGACATATAAATAACCTCAAATAATAAATATTGGAATTATATTATGTTTAACAAAGATTCAATTTATACTTAAAGGTATCTATATATCGAAATGAGTTATAGGGAGGGAATATATTAATCGATATAATTACTGTATGATTTTAAGAAATTATTTAAATGTAATATTAGATTAATTAAATGCTTTTTTTAGTTATATTAAAATTCCTTAGTTCTATTAAAGGTGAAATATATTATAATTTAACACTTTACTGGAGGATAAATTGGATATATATACATACTTATTTTAATTAGAATCCTATTAATATACTTAAATTTTAAGTATTTATTTTATATGCCACAATTTAAACCTTTTTGGTGGATTAACCTTATATCATGGATGATGACTATTTTAATTCTTGTTAAATTATATTAGTATTGCAGCTAAAATAAAAATTAAAACTCAACTAAACACCTGTTATTTATAATGAACATTTTTATACAGAATTAATATTTTAACATACTATTGTATCCTTATTATAATATGCTATTAATCTACTCTTCTATATTATTAAATTCACATGCGTAGCCGGTAATAAAAGAAAAAACTCTTCCAAAGTAACCCATGTACGTTCGAATCTAATAAAAGAATAATTAATTTTAATAGTTATTACTCCAAGCTAAGACTAAAACAAATAGGTCCAAATTAAATAACATGGGATAGAAATAGATATTATTAAAATAACTCAAATTTAATGAGAAGAAAGATTTTTTAATTCTATATATAAATTCAAGGAATATTAATAATAATTTAAGAGAGAATTAGTAGTTTATAAATATTAGAATTCTATAAATATGATATATTTAAGGTATGTATAATAAATTAACAAGACTATATTAAAAGCATTTAATGACGTAAGTGAATGATTTGGTATTTTAGATAATTTTAATTAGCAGATTAAATTATATTGTTTATTTATAATGATAGGCTATTCCTTAAATTAGTAGCTAATGGTTGAAATTAAGTTTTATCTATTCCGTTATTAGTTTACTTTATGGGAGCTATTTCAACATTAGCAAACTTCATATGAGAAAAACAAAGTGTATCTGACACAAGGATTAAGTCTGCCATCATCTATATTTAAAATTTATGACAATGTTCTACTCGAGTTTCTATGAATAAATGCTTACCTAAACCTGCTTGATATTCTTTTTTCACTAATTACGTATAAAATACCCTTATTAATTTATATCAGTCGGTGGTACTTTTTTTTTATTACTTATTGCCTAGATTATTACTATCCTTTTTAGTTTATCCTTTACAAAATAATTTATTATAAACAGGAGTACATAACACTATAAAAGGTTATTAATAAAATATAAATGCACTAACCTACCAATCACCAATTAAATAATTACCAACTATATAAAAACAACTACAAATACTAACAGTTTTAGAACTGTTAGTATTTAAATACTAAATATATGGAGATATTTTAATACTATAGGAACTAAGATCCTAATATTCACATATAATAACAGTTTAGTAAGGATACATTAGAATAATCTGTAATCTTGCTAATATTAAAGTATAAATTCAAAATTAATTAAATGTAAGAAAAGAAGATTAGTTTTATCATTAAACTATAACTATAGCTGTAATATTATAAATAATTATTACACATTTCTCCTCATTAAAATATTTATATTTTAATATATTCCTATAATAACATTTTTTGATATTTTTAAGTAGTTTAATTTAAATTTATTATTTATAATGAATGGAGGTTAAATTTAATTATAAGGTATAATGGTATGGGCGTCCGTTCGAGTGTATATGGAATTGTCTATTAAGAATGGCCCATAAGAGTGGGCCAAGGAACATATAACTTACCCTATAACCGTAAGGGGAAGGGGACAATAGCATGTTATAAAAAGGATCATGAGGACGATAACTGTCGAGCTTACTCGGTCCAAGATAAATCAAATGTTCGTCGGATTGGAAAGGATGAGGTTACCAAAACTGGAGTTATTTTGGGCCTGATGCAACCATTACTTGGACACAGTTTCTACAGGTAATTATTAGTAGCTTTAAGGTAAAGACTTACTTAAAAGACCACTCTAATACTAATACATCCTTCAACGTATTGAAGACAGATAACAAAACAGTCTCCTTTCCAATCATTCCAAGAGTCATATACGCTACC